CATCAAACCGTAAACAAGTTACTGTAACAATGTCACATGTCACACGATTTACACGACACCATACACGTCGTTGAACTGTTGGAGTCATTGGGAGTCAGATAAGGCATTCCAACGATCTGTCAAAAATGGCGTTTGTCAAAAGTTAGCCAGGGCAGGCGGGGCAGGCAAATGTTAAAGTGCGCGAAAATATTGGTGAAATGCCTACATTTTGTTGTGTAGTGAAATGTAGTAGTAGGAGAGAACGCGACAACGTTAAATTTATAAAATACCATCGGAACTGAATCGAAAACATCCTGATAACGTTGAACCAACCAATGAGAAGACAACTTTGGTTAAATGCAATCATCAAACGTGAAGATTTAACTGGCAGTGAGTTAAAATATGCTGTAGTTTGTTCGAGATATATGTATATTAGTACTTATTAATAAATATTAATACTTAGAGCAATTATTATTATTAACAAATGTATATTAATGACGCGTGTTCGACTGTGTCTGTGGACTGTGTGAAACTTATTTGACACAATCGAATTGTGTGCCCTGACTGATTTTTTTTTTATTGGAATGCCCTATACCATTGGTCGCCGCTGTGGCGCTAAATTCAAATTACAGTTTGTTTTTCTCTGACTAATTCTATAGAGACTATGCTGGAAAATTATTTAATATCCCACTATACCATCACCATTTAACCTATAGAATAATGTCGAGCAGTTTTTTTACTGATTTTCATACATAGTATACTACCCCATTGTAAACTAAGAACATATAGTAGGTACATAAAAAAGTGGCCCAAGGGCAGAGCCTTGCGGAACTCCAAAACTATTTGACTGTCTATCACTTTGATTATGCCCCAACTTCACGTACTGACTTCTATCAGTTAGGTAAGAACTTATCAACCTATACACTGCACCTCACCCCAATTGGTATAGCTTTCCTAACAAAATATCAATACTCTACATCGAAAGCTTTTTTAAAATCAATAATGTGTGAACAGTACCTTTTTTCCGTCCACACCTCTGGCTATTTTTTTCACCATCAAACACAGCACATGAAGTATTGCCATTTTTTATGAATCCATATTGATAGTCGTCAAGTAGATTATGATGGTTTACAATTAAAAATATTCTGGGTTTCACTATTGTTTCAATGACTTTTGAGAGAGATGAAATTACTGAAATTGGATGATAATGAGGTCGTCCCGTTAAATTGAAATGAATGTTTCTTATATAAGTACTTTACTTCTACTACACTAACATACCGTTTATTATAGTTATTAAAATTATGCATTGGAACATAACAATTTTATTTAAGATTGAATTTTTGCCATTATTTGAAATTGATGTTTTCGCGCCTTTATGACGTATTATCACTCCAGCCAATTGGTTTCGTGCACGTGACGTCACTAAATTCACATTGGAGGTAAGACAACCTATCAACTGGCACGTTGGTTCTTGATCAAGGACGTGAGAGACGGCCTACTCAAGCCAAGCAACGTGGTGTCGGGTTGGAGATTGGATGGGTGACCGCAGTAGTACGGGACGGTGGGTCGCCCGCGCTGCCGCGAATCATCTGATCTCCAAGTATGAATGAGAAGTATGAATGAGAAGGAGTAGAGCCCATACAAATGACATACAAAAAGCCTATAAAGGCTGCAGTGTAGAGTATGGGCTCGAAATGGTGGAACCAAAAAAAAAGACAACCTATCCCATATATTTATATGGAGTTGGAGTGTCAAGCTTTCTTCTTTTGTTAGCTTTTTCTGTGGTTTTTCGGTGTTTCAGTTATATTTTTGTTTGATTTGCTGTTTAATAGTTTATAAAGACATTTATTTACGTTCATATTGTATATTCGGCTGCATTGTTTTTACATCCTACAACGGCACAATACGAAGGTATAGTTTAAATCACGATAGAAAGTGAAGTTGACAGTTCGCGTTGACATTTCTACCAGAGCTAGGCAAAGCACTCGAAAAAAGTGCTTGGAGCACCAAGCACCAAGCCCTTGGGAAAAGGAATTGCCAGCATCAAGCATCAAGCACTTTGTAAATTCCTAGTGCTTGCAATTTACCAAGGAAAGAAATTGCACAATTCAATTACCAAGCACCAATTACTCAAAAAGTACTTGAAATCATTGTTGATTACTTGCAGGTGCTTGCAAGCACTTTTTCTCAAATAAATTACCAATTACCAAGCACTACTTTGCCGATTGCTTCCAATTTATTTTTAAAATAAAGATGTTACTGAATTGGGGTCTCGGGAGATAGCAATTTGGAACGTAATAAGTTTTAACGTTTTTTGTTGATGTTAAAATGATGATAGTTATAATGAAATGATCAAACCAAAGTTTTTTGTTCTTAATTTATTACTAGTCTTCGTCTCTTCACTCTACATACACTACACTACACTGTTTCATCGAATATTAACATTATTATAACTAAAGATAAAGACTTCAATAAACTGTGGTAGTATATAGTGTACCTATAGTGTTAGTGAATAGTGTTGCATATTGCATAATGCATATTGCCTTTGCCGACGCCGAGAGCGGCCGAGACGGCCTTCAACCAGCCAATCACATTAAAGCTTATGCTGCGTTAAGATGTTACTAAATAAGACTTGATTTTTAGTGCTTGCAAGCTTTTAGAGTGCTTGCAAGCTCTTTTGAGTGCTTGCAAGCCTTTTAAGTGCTTGCAAGCACTTCAAATGGCTTGAAATGCGAAAATCAATTACCAATTACCAAGTACTTTTTATAGAGGGCTTCGATTACCAATTACCGAGCACTACATTTTAAAAGGGCTTGTAAGCACTTCGCTCAAAGCACTATTGTGCTTGAAGCACTTTTTCGAGCACTTTCAAGGCAATTACTGCCCAGCTCTGATTTCTACACTCTGTCCAACGAATCTACGGAGTATGACAGAGTCAGATTGGCGGCCAGGTTTACACTGAACACTGATTTAGTCATTGGATTTATGCCATTTATTTATTTCAAAATCTTACAAAACGTCACTCTACAGTGTAGAGCGGGCTGATAAATGACCAATAGCAACGAACCTTTTTGAAGGTTTTGTTGTTTGTCACTCCGTAGGTTAGTTGGACAGAGTATAGTAGCTTTTTCTTTAGGTTGCCAGCATGCGTTAGTGCTTCGATTCCGTCAGCTGGGATAAATGACAGGGTCATATTTAGAAAAGTTTACATTACAGAATAAAAATTTATTTTCAATTTCTTCAAAGGAAGCTAAGTTATTAAAATCTAAAAATCCAAAAATTAGAGTTCAAAGTAAACAGTTATAGAAATCTCTAAAATATTATTTATCAATTCAACTAATACTGGAGTAATATGCTTCTAAGATTGAATAAATCACGTATAAAATCTGTTTTTTTTTTTAAAGATAAAAGTCAAAATGAAATGAATACAATGTAAAATTGTCAATGCTTCAAATTTTTTATGTAGAAAAGGCTTGTGTTGCCAACATAGTTACTAAATTTTTGACTTGGGGAATTATCTTTAAAAAAAAAAAACAGACTTTAGATATTTGATCATGGCCAGGTGCGGAGTTCTTTTTTAGTTCTAAAATAATTTTATTTACTTCTATCTCGTTTCTCAAATCTAATATTAAGTTAGCAGCATCACAGATAATCCCTGAACATAATGCCATTCTTAACATTATTTTGATTGTGTTTATCTCATCTACAATATTTTTACCTACATAGGTACGTTACTGAAATATTTGTTTATACAATTATTAGCAATACTCGACTCATCTTTTATGATTATATCTACCATTAACTGTAATTTATTTTCAGACTTTTTATTTTCAATAAAGCTATCTATGAATCTCCATTTTTTTTTTGATATTACCCCTGTTTGATCCCATTTATCCCTGAAATACCTACTTATTTTTTAATGGTTTTATTTTATTTGTAACTATATTTTTTGCACATTTAAACTGATTTTTAATGTTACTATCATCCCTGTTTGCTACTAATTTATCATATAGGTAATCTATCTCGTTCCCTTATCAATGTTATCACCTCATTACTAATCCACATATTGTTTTCAAGTAATCTAAAAATTCTACTATAGGTACAACTATCTTTACATTTATGGATTGCTGTATATTGATTGAAGTATAAGCTGTTGAAAGGAAGTAACATTGTACCCTCTTATTGGTTGTTAAAGTCTTAAACTTATTATGGTCCACATGCTTGCTTTCGTACGATCATTTCTTTCTGTGTTTCTTTATAGAATGTTTAATTGTAATATGTAACCGTTTGTGGCAATAAGTTACCAGATGATCGATTATGTTGGCTGTTGGCTGTATTTAGGGTTACACGAGCTGCATGTTCAATTCCAATATTATTTTTTATGTGATAATTATGAAGTGATAACACATCTTTGTACACTAACATTGTTACCCTATCAAGTAAATTTATGTTGATATCACCTATTAGGTACTATATGATTTTTTGTTACTCAGTTCTTTGAATGGAGAGCCTACCTTCTTTTACATTGTACTATATTGCTACTTCACCCCTTCCTTTTTGCCGACAAGCATGTACAGCACTAAAACCATCTATGTCATACCAACCAGTTTCAGAATCACACAGCCATGTTTCAACTAGAACTAAAATATCACATGGATTATTAATAACAAAGCATTGCATAATTCACATTTAGATTATCATCCCTCTTTCTCGATTATGACAACCTTGCTGTTTTCTTTTTTTCGAAGGAGTATATTGCCATTGCCAAACTATGCATGCATACTCATAGTTGTTCTCTTTCTTGAATATCTGGGTCTGGGTGAGTAGGCCTAAGTTCATTTTTGTCAGATCGTGGTTTAGAAATACTGAGTTATCAGCCTGATCACCTAGATTTTTTGCATCTAAGTGAAATCTCTTTGGCGATTTTATAAACATATTTTTCATGCCAGCACTTTCAAATATTACCTTGATAGGAGAATTAATGCTGCTTTCCTTACCCAGATGAACAGCCGAAAATTTACCAATGCTGCTGATAAATTGACAGTTGTAGGCCTTGACCAATTTTCTTTACAATTTCCCTAGCCTTATAAGGAACAACATGTATGATCATGTTATTATTTAGGCCCTTCTCTTCCATTTTGTTAAGTTTGTTATTTATATCTTATATTTTTGGAACAGGTTTGCATACTTTTTAATTTTTATCCATTTCATGCAATCTTTCCATCACATCAGCAAGGGAAAAAGTGGTTCTTGTTGGCCTATTAGATCTACCATGATTCACATTCATCGCAGTACCATACTTCCTTACTTCTAGACACCTTTTGTGACTCACATGAAAATTTCTTTTAAATTCTTTCCTATATTTTTTTCTATGTGGTAACTACCTGTGAGCTTTAAAGTAGGTAGAGTAGATCCAGGTTAATGTCACCAATAAATATACAGAGATTTTTTATGTTTTCAAACAATTTGTTAGTGTCTCGAACAGACCTAAAACTATTCAAAAATTCCCTGATTATTTTTTCAGATTTCAAACAAACCTCTCAGTGAACAAAAGCCTCCAACAAGACAATTATTTTTCTCTATTGTGTTAGAGCTTTATCTAGACCGAGACGCCTTAAAATCAGCTCAAGACAATAAGATTACGATCGTTTTGCTGACCTAGTCGTCTTGTAAAGATATCCAAGGACATGAAAAATGACAATATAATAATTGTATAAAAACGGCAGACACAAAAAAATATATGAAGAATTGGAAAAATATAAATTATTAATGAACTCTACTTTATTATGCCTTCAATAATAATTACAGAATTTGAATATCAGAATCGATTACCTAATGGTTGAAAAGTGCAAGCAAAATTTTAATTGAAAACACAAGTTCCACGCATAATTATTGACGATTCTCAAGTTTTTATTACCAAAAGCTAAATTAAATTTAATTCTTTTGTCCAAGAATCCCCAAAACACCAATAAAAGCTCCTTTATTGCAGTCCAGCTCAATTTTAATTAAGCAAACGCTCAGTGACCTACTCAATTATTTGTTTAAACAGCTGCTGTTTTGTGCTCCACGAGGTAGCAACTTCAATTTAGTTACCAAAGAAAACAAATTCGCTCGTGAAGCTGAAGCTGCTTAGTTTTTACGGGCTTGTTTACATAAACAAGAAGCATGTGTGTGTGTGTAGGTAGAGAGGCTTAACTTGAGAATAATAAAGATGTTAACTTTTACACTTACTTTGTGTTGGAGGAAATTTGAGAGTTTCTGTTTAAAATGAAAGGGGTACAAAAGAATAGGAAGGTGTAATGATGTTTAACTCTGGAAACCTCCAAAAAAAATATGTTTACACTTATTTTAAAATTTACAACCTCAAGATTATTCAATAGATTGCAACAGTAGGTATAATCGCCCAAGTTTCTTATCTGTTTAGTTTTTTTTTTTCACTTAGATCCAGTTTATTCATCTTCAGATAAACTTGCTGGTAACTATGTGCAAGATGAATTTATAGTTCCATAATTGATTGACATAATGAAGATTACAAATTGCGCTTTCATCCGTCAGATACCTGGCAGTCTGATAAACTGTGGTGAATAAACCGATCCTTAAAAACTTTACTTACAGAAACTAAAGTTTTGTCTCCAATTCAGTTTTTTTATTTTTGAGAAGTTACTCAATCTACTATTGTAGATGAAAGAGTTGCATGTCATAGGTAAAAGATTCTCGACATTGTAGAGGAAAATTATGATTTTTCTGGCAGGATGTAGACTAAAAGTGTGTTGAAGAACATTCTACATCTTTATGGGAGTCTTAAGAATAGTCATTTATTTTTATATTTTAAAAAGGTGTATGACAGAGGGTCAATTAATTAATCGCTTTTGTATTATGTGTCGAATATATTCCGTATTTTCCTCTCAATTTGAATCATGGTTTCTCAAACTTTAACATGGTAGCAGAGCGTTAAAAGAGGCGAGAAAAATTAAGAATATCAAGAATTAATACGAAAAAGTAGTAGGTAATTGAACTTTGAAGGATGGATGCAAGCAAAGTTCATATAGGATTACTGGAAAGTGAAGCTGACTGGACCACATGGAAGTACAAAATGAACATTGCTCTAAGAGGTAATCCAAATGCAGTTGGTATTTTGAAAGGAATTAGAGTTGGTGTGCCCAGTTTTGAAAGAAAATGCGTAAGCAGTTGAAATTTCTGCGCATGAGAAAAGCCTGGTAAGTTTCAATACTGCAGATTGTATTGCACTTCTTGCTCTTACAATAAATATGACACAAGATACCTTACAAAAAGTTATGAGGTTTTCTACAGCAAGAGAAGTGTGGGTTGAATTAAATAGGCTCATTGATGGCAATGTCGAGGACAAAACCTATGATGTTTGCTTAGAATTGTTTAACTATAAGAAGAAAGTTGAAGATGATATGGCAACGTACACGTCTAAGCTCAAGAACCTGTGGAATAAGGTGCAAAAAGGTTTTACCAAAAGACAAAATCATTACAAATAAAAGATGTAATTGTGAGTTACCTAAGTTGCTGTTAGTCTGTAAGATTTTAGAAACTGTACCCCAAGACTACTTCTCCTTCAAGTCAAGCTGGATGGTAATGTCGGAATCTGACAGGACTATAGACAATTTAACAAATCAGCTTTGTTCTCATGAGAAAGGCATTATCAGACAAGAATAATGAAAGTCATCAGGAGGCGTTACTTGCAGAAAAGAGAAGCAGCTCGACCAAATAGGAGAAAACTAGATTGCAATTATTGAAAAAGAGAAGGTCATAAGGTCAAACAATGTATTGAATGGAAAGAAGATGGTAGACCTCCAAAACCAGAAACCTCAAATTCAAGAAATAACAGAACACAGAAAAATAAGGATATTAACATGATGTTAGTTGCCTTAACAAGTAGTGTCTTATTAAGCGAATGTGAGAATAGCTGGCTTGTGGATAATGGGGCTACAAGTCATATTACAAATCGAGGTGATATCTTTGAAGCATTTGAATATTTTCAAGATACACACACCATAACGACAGCGACTGAAGAAACGGTTAGAGCAGTTGAAAAAAGAAAAATTCTGATACAAACAAAAGTTCAAGACAGAGAAGATGTTTTGACGTTATCAGACATGCACAAGATTTACAACCTACATCAAAGTTTACTTCAAGTACCTACTGAAAAATGCAGTTTTATAGTTGGTGGTAAAACCATACTGACAGGTGAAAGAAGTAGATTTGGAGGACTGTACAAACTAGCATTGCAGATCATATCAAATCATATCAAATGATAACTTATTGCAACTATACCGAACGCTTTGGTTATCAAAACAAACGACACATCAGAGATATTTTGAGTCGTGAGTTTGACCTTAAAGTTACCTTAGCGAAATATGTGAGGGTTGTATTTATGGTAAAATGCACAGGAAAAAGTTTGGAACGAGAAAAAGAGCAAAGCTACCAGGAGAACTCTTACAGACAGATGTTTGTGGGCCTTTTGAAAAATCCAAAAGTGGCTATAGATACTTCGTGTTTTTCAAGGAAGATTTCAGTCGTTATCGTTATATGTTTACTTGCTGAGAGAAAAATCTGAGGTTGCAGAAAAACTGACAATTATGTTAACTGAAGTAAAAACAGTAGGACATACAGTAAAAGAGCTACTCTCAGATAATGGTGGTGAATTTGACAATGGTCAAGTAAGAAAAATTCTAACAAAAAAGTAGAATCAAACAGAGATTCGTAATGTCTTATACACCAGAGCAAAAGGATTGTGCAGAGCGAGATAATCTTACTATCGTTGAAACTGCTAGATGCATACTAATGAAGATCTTTCACAACTTTTTTGGGCAGAAATAATAAATACATCGGCGTACATTTTGAATAGGACTGGTAATTCTAGTATTGAAGGAAAATCTCCATTTGAACTGTGGTATGAGATAAAGTCTTCTATAAAACACATGAGAATTATTGTAAAATCCTGTTATGCCCATGTACCAAACTCAGGAAGAAAGAAAATTGATAAAAAAGCAGTGAAATGCATACTTATAGGATGTGACCAAGATGATGGATATCGGATTTGGTGTGAAGAATCTGAGAAACTAGTGATATTCGACGAAAAACTCATAACTTCAACGTTGCCATTATTGAAAGACCCTGTTGGAACTTCTCAGCAAAGCAATTGTAAGATTGTCAGAAGCAGGGAAGGTACTCCAGAACAAGAAACTAAAGAAAACAAGACGGCGAAGAAGATGATAGTTTGGGGAATCACAGTTTTTCTGATACTCGTTCTGACATCTTAATAGAATCACCAGATAATGACATTTCAGAAGAAGTCCCAAATGTACCAAGTAGACAACTGAGAGATAGAAATCAGATACAAAAGCCTGCCAGGTTTGAAGATTTCACTGATGGCTGCAGATATTATGAAAATAAATGAGCCAATTACGTACTGAGAAGGTACGTCAAGTAATACAGCAAATGACTGGAAAATGGCTATGGGAAGAGAAATGAAGTCTTGGTTTGGACTTTAGGAAAGCAACCCAATGGTAAGAAGGCTATACCAAATAAATGGGTGTACAAGTTAAAATACAATCTAGATGGCTCTATAGATAAATTCAAAGCCAGACTAGTCGCAAAAGGTTATTCACAGAAGAAATATCAAGATTATGATGAGATATTTAGCCCAGTTGCTAGATTTGCTACAATACGATCTGTTTTGAGTCTATCTGCCAGTGAAAATTTAAGTCTAAGCCAGTTTGATGTATATACAGCATTTCTATGTGGTGAGCTTCAAGAAGAAGTAGGTATACATGAAACAGCCAAAGGGTTTCAAAACTAAACCGAAAGGTTCGCCTTCAGCTCAGAATTTTTGGTTTTGAGAAAATGTTCGAGGTGAGGAAAAGTTCTAGAAAAAAAATATGATTTTTCTGACACTTGGAAGACGCTGTAGATCAAAAGTATAGATGGAAAATAGTAGCTCAAAGCTTTACCTCCAAACAAGGGTGTATTTTGGCAGCTAAATGTAACTCAAATAAAAATACAAATATTTTAGATTGAAAAGTATTTTACTAAAGGAAGCTACAATGAAAAAAACATTATAAATAATAAGCACCTTTTAGTCAAATAAATAAATATATTAAGGATCGT